GATCAACTGGAAGTAGTAACGTGATTTCTTTGCTCACAGCATGACCGCTGGGTTTGGGGAGCACTCAGATGTAGAGGCCCCAGTCTCGTCTTGCCTACTCCCAGCCTGGGGAAGAAGGCTTACCCCCCATATTCCACCTCATCCCCACAGGGTCCCTGATAACCTGGTCCCATTGGGGGTAGGCCTGTCCTGGGGCATTGGTGGCATTCAGGGGGCAAGTCGCTTGCTGGGCCATCTCTGCCTCCCCCTAGTAAGAGCTCTGTCTTCCTTTTCCTACAGGAAAAGCAAGAAAGCCAGCAAAACCAGGGAGAGCCCTAAAGAGGCAGAGGTGAGTGGAGGGTGTGAAGTTCCCTCCTGTCCTCTGGAGAGTGTTGCTTTCCTTTTCTTTTAGCACTTGCTTGGCTTTTCTCCCAAAGGTTCAAATCCAGAGAACCAACATACTGATGTCTGAGAAAGGAAAATTAAATACTGAACTCTATCATATGCAATGTGCTGCCAGGAACTTTGAAGGTGGGAATCTGGGCACCCCGTCATCCTTCAACCTGGCGCTTTGACAGGCCTTTTGGGGGAGTCCTTTGGGCCCCATCTCAACCTCTCTCATTTCAGGAGAGTCCACGGATCTGGCCAGCCGCCTGCAGTATTCCCAGCAGCGTGTGGGAGAGTTGGATTGGACTCTTTGCTGTCTCGACGCAGCAGAAGAACATGGACAGGGTGAATCCTATTGCCTGCCCCATCCCTTGGCAGCCCAGGTTCCCAGATGGAGGAGTGAGGGACCTTTAGGTCCCTTCTGCAGAATGGAGTGTCCTGCCCAGAAAACAGCATGGGCCATTTCTCATTGCTTTTGTATGTCGTTGTTAGAGGCAGCCTAGGGCTGAGTTGGCTGCTGTGGGTGAGTTGGGGAGCGCTGTGGGGAGCAAGCAGAGTTTGGACGTGCAGCACTGGATGCAGAGCTCGGAGACCAAGTGCCTACCGTGCCCTTACCTGGCTGTGGCCTTGGCCAAGTCCTAAGTGGGGGATATGGTACTTACACTGTGAAGGTACAGAAGAATATCTTTAGTATGTTACCATTTGTGTAGAGAGAGGGAACGTGTGTGTGTGTGTGCGTGTCTGTGTGTGTAAGTACTATGATAATATACATAAAACATGCTTGAGAGTGGTTTCAGAGCCACTGGCTGCGTTTTCTTGAGGCTCAAAAATGAGAAACAAACTAGGAAAGAAGGGAATTTATTGCTGTAACCGGATACAGGGAGAAGGCTGGAGATAATTCCACCAGGCCAACTCGAAGTGTTACAATTTTCTTAGGGCTTATATAGGTTGGGGTTACGTGCCTACGTGCAGCATAGCATTCACCTAAGTCTATTGATAACTAATTTTGTTTCAACTAGAAAGTCAGAGGCAAAAAGTGCTGGCTAAGTCTGATTAAGCTGTGAGGGCCCCAGTACCCTCAAGGCCTATCTACTGTGGTACCAGAGTGATTATTTCTATCTTATCTCCCTCACAGCTTGGTCTGGAGAGCTGCCTTAGACTCTCCAATGAATCTATTCAAACAGCTGCCTCTGTTACCTTGACTCGTCTCAGATTCCGTCAACCCGAGACTAGGAATATAAGACTGTCTCTATTATTTTGACTTGCTCCAGGTTAGGGAGAAGCCTATGCAAGGGTCCTACTGACCATATGTTTCTTTTCTAGCTTTGATACCTGGGCATGAATTTCTCTAGGTTTAACTATTTGCTCAATGTTAAGGCAGCTCTGTGGAAATTTGTTTGTGTAAACTGGAGTGCTGTGCAGGGCTGTCTGTGTGACTGTCATGAAGGCCTGTCTGTGTGATTGTCAGGGAGAATTGGCCTGCCACAAAAGGATTCATACAAAACTCAGGAGAGAGACACAGGGTGGCTGGGAGATATTTCCCTTCTGTACCTTCTGAGTTTTGTACTATGTGAATTTATCATCCTTTCAAAAGGTGAACAAAAGATTAATTTCCTCCTTCCTTTCTGTGTCCCAACCCCCATTAAAAAAAAGGACTTAGAGAATCAGATATACCTGGGTGTTCAAATCCCAGCTCTGTCTGAGTGATCTTAGGCAAGCAATTAACCTCTAATGCCCCATGTTTTTTACCTGCTCAACAGAGGTAATAGTAGTAACTGTCTCATATGGTGGTTGTGAGAATTAAATGGATTGCTAGCATGGTGCCTGGTGAAGCACTCAAAGGTTCAAATAGTGATAGTAAAAATGGTAATAACAATAGCAATATTCTCTGATCTCTCTGGGCCTCTGGTAACCAGCTATAAATTCGATCTCTTTCCCTGTCCCTTCCACCCTTATTGAGTTCTTTGAGAAACAAATGAGACTATGGGCTTGGAAATGCCTTGAAAATATGTCAGCTGTGATTGAGAGTAAGGAAGTGTTAACTGGGGAATAGTTATTTATTATAGCTATTGTTACTGGTCAGCCAGCTGCTCCTCTGCCTGCTATATCCTGACTTAATCTTTCTGTATTTGCAGTATAACAAGGAGGTAACCAAAGACAGTGATGCCCTCAGGCTGGAGTTATACAAGAACAGGTAGGACGGGGGACGGTGGGATGGGAGGTCTGGGGCCCTTAGCATGGGTGATGTGCTGGAAGGTGGGAGGGGTGCAGGTGAGCTTGGTGAGGTGGTCATACAGGTTTGCATGTGTGCACAGGCTAAGCTCTAGCGCTAGCTGTGCCCCTGACTCACGGAGTGGCCTTGGGGAACTCATGTCTTCTCTCTGGCGTGCCACCTGTGACTCGATTCCTGAAGTCCCTTCCAGTGCCACGGTTCTGTTGTTGTGGGGCGAAGGTAGAGGAGCCATCCTTTCTGCTCTTCATTGTAGTCCTTTCTGTTCTTCGTTCATTCCTTTCTCTCCTGCCTCTGGCCATAGCCAAAAACAATGAGGACCTGAAGCAGAAGAACTCAGAACAAGAAGAGAAGCTTCAAGTCCTAGTGACTGCGAAGTCAGGGATTTAACTCAACTTGAAGGAGCTGCACAGGAAGCTGGAGAGGACTGAGCTCCTGCTTCAGGCAAGAGGCTGCAGCCCCAGGGGTGGTGGGAGCCCCATCCAGCTGAGGACATGGTCTAGGGATCATGCAGGGTATGGGGAGGCTCCAGCCAAGAGCTGGAAAATTTGGGTCCTTGTTCTGGCCCTGCCATAGAATCCTCTAGAGACTGCTAAAAATCTACAAACTGGGGCCCTGCCGTAGACCTGGGGAATCAGAATCTCAGGGTTAGGGCTTACATTTTTTTAAAAATTGCATCATAGATGAAAACCATTATTTTATAGATTACACTTATATGGCTAGCTCATGAGTCTGTTTATTTCCTTCTGAGGTTCAAGCCAACACTTCGACTATTCCACGGTAATAATCGAGAGTAGAGTTTTTGTTTGTTTTTTATTTTGGGACGGGGCCTCCCTGTATCACCGGGGCTGGAGTGCAGTGGCGTGATCTTGGCTCACTGCAACCTCCACCTCCCAGGCTCAAGCGATCTACCTGCCTCAGCCTCTCAAGTAGCTGGGACTACAGGTGCACACCACCATGCCTGGGTAACTTTTGTATTTGTAGAGACGGGGCTTTGCCATGTTTCCCAGACTGGTCTTGAACTCCTGATCTCAAGCAATCCACCCACCTCAACCTCCCAAAGTGGTGTTATTACAGGCATGAACCACCATCCTTGGCCTGAAATCTTTAAAAAAATTATTTAATTTTTTATTTCTAAAGCAGAGAAACTCGACAGTAGAGATCTTTATTGACCAAGTTGTACATTAAGCCAGGCTCTAGACCTTTTAAAGGGCACTATGTGGAACAGCCCAGGCTCCCCAGATCTGAACTTCTCACTATTTACTATTTGATTTGATTCTAGGAAGTCGGCACGCAACAGTCTTAGGTTCCCTGCCTCCAGACCCTATTTTCCTGCCTCACAGAGGTTTATGTTACTGTCCTTTCGGGTGAATCCCTTCTCCTTCTGCACTTGCTTGGCTTTTCTCCCAAAGGTTCAAATCAGACAGTTGGAATCTTGATGTTTGAGAAAGCAGAATTGAAGACAGCACTGTATCACACTGAATGTGCTCCCAGGCAGTTTGAAGGTGGGAATCTGGGCACCCATCATCCTTCAACCTGGCGCTTTGACAGGCTTTTAGGGGTAGTCCTTTGGGCCCCATCTCAACTTCTCTCATTTCAGGAGAGTCCACGGATCTGGCCAGCCGCCTGCAGTATTTGCAGCAGTTTACGGGAGAGTTGGAACGAACTCTCTTTGCTGTCTCCACGCAGCAGAAGAACATGGACAGGGTGAGTCGTACAGCCTGCCCCATCCCCTGGCAGCCCAGCTTCCCAGATGGAGGAGTTGAAGCTGGTTATGAAGCTCTTGATGCTAACCAGCAGTTACAGCAGGCCGTGGAGGAGCGGGCACAGCTGGAAGCACACCTGGGGCAGGTGAGGCTTTGCCGAGGGAGGGATGTAGAAGGAAGATAACCCCAGGTGGCCAGGAGCAGGTGAGGACCAGTGACAGCCCTTCCTAACTTCTGTGCCCATTTTTGCAGGTGATGGAGTCACTGAAACAACTACAGATGGAGAAAGATCAACACGCTGAGAATCTGAAAGGAGAGAGCACCTTGTGGTGGCAGAGGATGCGGGAGATGTCAGAGGAGGTGAGACCTGACCCTTCAGCCCCAACCACAGATAGGTCACTTGATTGTTCCAGGCATCTG